ACTATCTGATTGGGCTTAGGTAAAGAGAAGTGATTTTGGCCCAATTTGGCCACATTGCTATTGTTTTCTCCCAACCCTATCAATCCGCCGACACTCAACTGCTGATAAGAGGGAAGAGAAGGCTGACCAGGTAATAGGGCGGCGGAGGTCATGTTTTCCGGCGAGGTGCGTTCCAGCTGCGGGCCATACAACCCGGCGAGGTTATTCTCAGAATTTGGATTTTGATCAGTGGGACCATTTGGGATTGTGAGAGCATTTTCTTGGCCGTGCCGATTTGCTGTGGCCTGTCCTCTGTCGACTGAACCGCTCGGAACCTCGGTCATAGACGATTGGGCGAGATTCATCAGTTGAACGTTGGTCAACGGACCCACGCGGATTATCAGTATCAGCGGATGGGATTTCCCCTTCCTCTAGACGATTATTTCTGTCCAATAGCTCCTTTATAAATTGGTGGAGTTCTGGATGCGAGACAAGTTGCAGGAGCTCCGGCGAGAGGTTTGCCGGAGGTTTGGGGGTCGGTACAGGGGGAGTTGGCAAACGAGGGTTAGGTTCCATAACTGTGATATAACAGGGAAGTAAAAGGAAAAAAGGAAAGGTCCGACGGCCCGGGGGCAGGCCGCCGCCGGCGGCGACCGGAGGTAGGGCCTATGCGGTGGCAGTGGTGGCGGTGGTGGCGGAAGAAAGGTTGAGGATTAGGGTGGATAGGGTAAATTCTAGAGAGAGAAATGTAGAGAGAAGTGAGAGCATTTTAAGGTGTCAAAAAAAAACAACGCCCCGGAAGGGCAGGGGATTGGGCTGGATCCCCAACCTGTACATAGATCAAGGCCCCAAAGCCGGGAGCCCAAATATCAACGAGCAAGATACAAAAGTTTACAGAGCCTCACTAATCAAGATCAAAAACAAAAGAAAAAGCAAAAAAGAAAAACCGAAAAACAACAGGAAACAAAAACTACAATACCAAGTCGATCTTTGGGCTAACAGATGCCCGACAGGTATGTCTATACTAAAGAAAACAGAAATCCTAAGCTACCGAAAGCGGAAAGCTGGATATCCAAGCTGGTCCATCCGTACAAGAGTGCGAAAGCGGAGTGGAGCAGTGTCGGTCTGGAATGTATGTGTGCCTGGTATGGTGGTGCCAAGGCTGACCAGGTAATCGGCCGGTCTGTTCCCCTCACGGAAAATGTGCGTGATCCTGTGGTGGACTGACTGAAGTAGATCTCTAATGCGCAGAAGCGGGTGCTGAATCTGCCACGATCCCTGATGGCCCGAAGTCAGGAGGGTGGCGACAGCCGCAGCATCCAGCTCGATCCATATATGACTAGAGAGGTGGACAGCAATCTGAAGGCCAATCTGTAGTGCCTGAATCTCTGCATCGTAGCTCGAGGAGGCCTGAATGGACGCGTGGAAGGCGGTGATGAGGGCGCCGCTATGGTCCCGAATCAAGCCTCCTCCTCCGGCAAGTCCAGTGTGGCGATCAAAGGAGCCATCAGTGTTCAGCTTGACCCACGGAGAGTCAGGTCGAAGCTAAACAACAGCTTGACCCACGGAGAGTCAGTGTTCAGCTTGTCTTTTGTTTCTAGGTTAGTTGTTTGTTGTTGCTAGGTTAGTTATCTGTAGCTGCTAGGTTAGTTGTCTTTTCTTTCTAGGTTAGTTGTCTTTTGTTGCTATGTTAGTTATCTTTAACTGCTAATTTAGTTGTCTGATGTTGCTAGGTTAGTTGTTTAATTTTCCTCCATATTTTCTTATAATTGTTCATTCTGTTTAATTTTATGTATAAACAGGGTTATAAATCCAAGCTTCTTAGCAAGGTTATGTGCTTGGCTACTGATGTAGTGGATGTTATAACCTTGCTTGAAGATGCCCCCCATGAAGTGTCTGAAGATTTAAATTATAAGAAGATACAACAAGCAACGAAAAATCTTATTTCTTTTAGTCCCAATGTACCTCAATCTTCTCAGAAGACAAATTCTTTTGAAGAGAGTGAAGAAACAGCTGCTTTCTGGAATGATCCAGAAACAATTGCAGCTATTGAGAAGATTGAGCGTGCCATTGGGAAGAGGGCGGCATACAAAAAGAAGACACAAGATGACGAAGGTCCCAGTTTTTCATTGGGATTGGGGTTGTCCTCGCAGTCCCAAGAGAGTGACAGAGGTTGGGAGGACATTCTAAATGTTTCAAGGCAGTTTTCAACTGATAGAGATGATGATGATGGTTCTATCCCCCAACCGTCTGCTGAGCCAGTGAAAAATAAAGAGACAGAGATTAGAGAGAGAGAGGAAGTGAAGAAAGAGTTGGAGAAGAGAATTAAAGAAAGAGAGTATGAAGAAAGACAAAAGAAAGAGAGAAAGGACAAAGAAAGACAAGAGATGGAGAAAGAGTAAGAGACAGAGAGAATTGAAGAAGAAAAAGGGATTGAGGAGAACCAAACTCTATCTCTCTTTCTGTTGGAGAAACAGAAGCAGAAATAGAAAGAGAGAGAGAGAGGAGAAAGAGAAAGAACAGAAACAGAGGGAGGAGAAGGAGAGAGAAGTCAGAGAGAGGGAAAAGAAAGAGAGAGAGCAGAAGGAGAGAGAGGAGAAGGAGAGAGAGCAGAAAGAAAAACAGGAGAAAGAGAGTGGAGAAAGAAAGACAGGAGAAAGAGAGAGAAAAGAAACAGAGGGAGGAGAAGGAGAGAGAGAAGAAAGAAAAACATGAGAAAGAGAGAGAGGAGAAAGAAAGACAGGAGAAAGAGAGTGAAAAAAGAGAAAGAGAAGAAGCTGAGGGAGGAGAAGGAGAAGGAGAGAGAGAGAGTTCAAAAAGAAAAAGAGGTTGAGAGAGAGAGGTTGGAGAAAGAAAAAGAGAAAGAAAGAGATAGAATGAGGCTTGAAAAAGAAAAAGAGAAAGAGAGGGAGAAAATTGAAAAAGAGAAAGAGATTGAGAGAGAGATGGTTGAGCAGGAGAAGCTGAGACAGAGAGAGAAAGTGTAACGCCCCACTTTTATTTGCCGAAAATCAGATTAAATTTTTCAAAATTTATTTCAAAACACTTGAGGCGCTACTCATTTCCAAAAACAATTTCAACAATATCATAAATGCGACTCCCAAACGAGTTCAATAATCATAAATAGTCAACACCCAAACCAGGTTCATAAATGACATCAACTCCCAAACTGGGTTCATCAAATCCATAAGTACTACTCCCTATCGATAATTCGGTACTCAACATAAATCCAAAATGCATAAATCATACTAAGCAGTTTTAAACAGTGGAAATAATCAATAATATGACCACCACTCGCCTCCTTCTGTCGTGCCCGCACTTACTAACCTGCATCAATGAAGAGCAGGTGGGGATGAGCACAATAGGAAATCGAAGTGCTCACCACTATGCAATAAACATTTACATATCAAACGATAACAGAGAAAGTAGGATCACAACATGTATATGAATCAATTCAAGTATCCCAAGTTTCATCATAAATCCACTGTGATTAGACTCATGTGCACATCTATACCAATAGACTACTGCCGGTAGATGTATCGAAGGCCCTCTCTCGGGTCATGCTTCGAATGCCCCATGGGCTCTACATCTATGCCCTCCGGTCCTACACACCGAATCGCCCCATGAGCTTCCATCGATGCCCGGACAGTAGGAGTAACCCCTCGGGTTTGTTTTCATAAATACGGGACAACCGTTCGACGGCCGGTACAGCTCACATCGAATGCTACATGATTCGTAAGCACACATTGATCATATACAATTAACGTAAATATTTTATTGCATAGAAAATTTTTAATAAAACCCACCTGATAGACGAGGTAGTCAATTACACAATAATTAGCAGAAGGTAGGCAGAGGGCTCGACTCCTCGTTAATCTACAGTTAATAATATTTATCTTATTAATAAGGCGACAACTAACAAGCAAGAACAAGTAAGGTAAAGCAAGGACAATTAAGACTACTAAAAGCAATTAAAGCACATGATAGACTCGGCAAATAAACATTCTCACCCATGGCAAAATCAACCACCCAATTACATGCATTTCAAACGTTCTTTTTATTTTATCCCATCTCAAAATTCACAAAACAACTTGAAAGGCTTTATAACTGAACATAGGCTTTGGAGATGATCACCTTAAGCATGATAATAGCAAATAATCATACGGAAAAAGACATAACAAGCTCAATATAACACAAGGTTAAAATACATACTAGCATTTCTCGATTTTTCTTTCTCTATCTACAACTTCAACCACATGCTTACATGCATTTGAACTGACTTTAGTTGTTAAAAGATAAATAAGTTGAGCAAGTGAAAGGTCCAAAGAACTCCAACAGGGTACCACAAAACTGAAGTAAAAATATAACACAACATGCTATAAATTTCATTTCCTTTTCTCAACCATTGAACCACAAGCTAAGGCCATTTAACCAAGATTTAAAAAAAAAAGCTCATTCATAAACATACTATTTATCTACTAAACTAAAGCATGCCCGAAAATTGATTCTTAACTGAATCTAAGCATAACACTTATATTTTCAGCCCAAGATAACGGCATAACAACCGCACAAAAATCAACACCAATTTAACATAACAACAGCCTCAAGTTTACACAATCAAGTAAGTTATTATCTCACCAACCAAGCTCCTCTTTTATCAACACTAAACCAACATAGTCATGAATAATTGTCCTAACAGCACCCGCAAAATATAACAAGACAAGGACTATAACACTTATCAAGCACCTCAATTTCACATTTTAAAACCTGAAATCCATCCTTTTTCAAACTTAAACTCAAGCATAAAAGAGCATCAAAACTCAGACAAAAAGAGGTAAATAGTTTAACCAAAAATACCTCTCATTGGGAATAAAATGGGGAAAAAGGTTCGAGTCTCGGCTACAAGTTACCGGCTCTCGAATCTCAAAACCGGCAAGGTTCGGCTCACTTCAGTCGTGATGCTGCTGCTCGGGACTGGAGAGTTCGAGTTCTGGTCATCGATGGCTCGTCTCAGCCACACGATGATCGGGTCGGACACATCGACGACTCGTCTCAGCCCGGACAGCACCCGAGTAACTCCGTTTCAGCCGAACCGCCTCGCCGGGAAAGGTCCGGCTCTTGTCTCTGTCTGGTCGAGTTCTCCCGCTGCATCTGGTGACTCGTCAACGTTGGTCCCATCGCCGGAAAATCTGGTGGTGCTACTCTCGGTCATTTTAGTGCGCTACCGCCGCTGGTGGCTCATCCTCGCTGCTGGTGGTGCTCGATTCGCTGGATACCTCGTCGTCCGCCGGGTTTGCTGCGAACTACGGCTGGTCACGGCCCGTTGCTAGTGGAGGGTCGCCTGCATTGGCTGCCTTTGGTCGGAGGTCGCGGACCGCCGCTGTTCGAGTGCCGGAAGTGAACAGGGCACAAACGAGTCGCCGGACAGGGAGGAGAACGGAACTCGCCTGTCGCACCGGAAATTCATCGGAACCTGGTGGGCCGCAGCACGGCCTTCTCGTCAGCCGCGTTGGAGGCTTCTCGATCGGTGCTGGTTCTGCTCGTCGTCGAGTTGGTTGCGAGCGGTCAGAGGCTCCTTGTCAATGGCGGACGTCAGCGGTTCCTCTTGACCGAGTCTCGACGGTTGATGGTTCACACGCGGCGGACTTCGGCTAATCGCGCGCTAGCTCGCGGTCGCCGGATTATGGAGCTTCGATTGACGGTTCTGCTTGGTCGAAGGAATTGAGGATGACGATGGGTGTTTCTGCGAATTTGCAAAGGAGTATAAGGGCAGATCCGATCAGAAACCGCGTAGCCGGATTTTGGGAAAATTCCGTCGCGAGGTGAAATGTGTGAGAAGACTGAATTTTCGATCTGGTTATGGCCGAGTATATGAAGGTGAGAGTTGGTCATTTGTGATGTTTAAGTAATGGGAATTTTAGGGTATGGAAGAGCCGGATTCCAAGCAGATCGGGCGTCGAGGTCGCTGCTGGTGGCGGATTGATGGCCGAGAAAAGAGGGATAGTTCAACTTAGCTGCGACTCGTTCTTTCTTCTCAAAATGAGGGAGAGAGAGTGGTGGGTTGCTTATTATTAGTTTGGGCCGACAACTTTAGCAATTTAGAATACTCTTGGGCTAGACCTTGGGCTAAGATATTTACAGGAAATTTGGGCCAAACTATAACTTCAAGGGCTGGAATTAGTATATCTAATAAGGTCGAGAATAAAAGTAAATGGACTGAAATTGTAACTCATTTGGGCCAAATGAATAAACTCAAGGTTCGGATTTTATTAGCACATAAAGGTCGAAAATAGTTCAACTGGTGCCGAAACAAAATTATCCGAAAGGACTGAAAATATTCCCGATAAATTGGGCCAATAGAATAATATGATAACAAGGGCTTCCGATCGATACGATTAAACAGTTGGCGATGGACAATAATAAAATAGCGCGACTTATTAAATCAATTAGACGAGATCATCCAATTAAAATAATACGAATAATAATAATAATAATAATAATAATAATAATAATAATAATAAATAATGATAAATAATTTCCAAATATTCAATAATCAAACGGGGCATTACAGAAAGGGGAGAAAGATGAGAAAGAAAGAATTCAGAAAGAAAAAATGGAGAAAGAGAAGAAAGAAGAACAGGAGAAGTCGAAAAGGAAACTGAAAGACAATGAGAAACTTGCATTGAAACAATACAACATATCAAAAGCAGGTTCAAGAGATCAAGAAATATATGATTGGATATTGGAAGAAGATCAGGAGACAATGTAAATTTTCATACTTGAGAAATTTTATATATTTTTTCACATTTTATTGCATTTATTAATTCCAATTTATATTTTCTTGTTCTATTCTTATTTTTGTGCTGTCAGGTATGAGACAATTTTTCAGAATGGGGATCTAATTTTGATGAAAGAAGATCTGAGGTCCTTAAGACCAGATGCATATGTCAGTGTCTCTATACTTGATACCTGGTCCAGAATTTTGAACTTAAGAGAACAATCCAGAAAACCTGGCCAGCCGATTAGATTTTTTGCATCAACATATTCCAGTGTAAGTTTACTTATATATTTGATTCCTATTTATTTGAATATTTTCTTGTTTTGGTATTTTCTGTTATTGAATCTACATTGATAGGTGCAATGTTAGTTGTTTTTTGGTGGTGCTAGGTTAGTTTTATTTCTGATGCTGCTAGGTTAGATATATGTAGTTGCTAGGTTACTTGTATGTAGTTGCTAAGTTAGTTATCACTAGTTGCTAGGTTAGTTGTATACTGCTGCTAGATTAGTTTTATTTGTGATGCTGCCAGGTTAGATATATGTAGTTGCTAGGTTACTTGTCTAATTATCAGTTGTTGCTAGGTTAGGTCTCTGTAGTTGCTAAGTTATACATACTTAGTTGCAATGTTAGATATATAGACTTGCAATGTTATATATATACTTAGTTTTATTTGTATGTACTTGCTAGCTTAGTTATATTTGATTTATTATTTTATAATATATTTTTTTTATTTGTTTCCAGAATTACAGTGTTTCGTTCGCTGGGGAGAAATGGGATTTGAAGTCCAAACCCACTTTATTCATCGAGAGTTTGGATAATGATTTTAGAAAATCAAAAACTCATTCTAAATTTGAAGATGTTGATATGGTAATTTTCCTTTTAAATTGGAATTGATTAGTTTATTTATTTTCTAACATGCTAATATTATATAATTTTTATTTTTTATCAGATGTTCTTCCCTGTTGCAAGAGTGATCACTTGTATGTGGTCTGTTTTGATTTGAAAGCATATCACATTCACATATTGGACAACTCTACTGTTGGTGGCCTTACATGTGGAAAATCTGAATATCAACATATAAATCTGGTAATAATCTCTAATCTTTTTAAATTAATTTTAGAACAATGCATATACAGTTAATATTATATCATGCAATGTTAATACATTTTTAATAATTGTTCTTTTTTTTTATTTTTTTTTCAAAAAAAACTACTTGTTGAATATTTGAAATTCCAAGGAATGCTTGAATGTGGATGACTTGTTTTCAAATTGAAGCCAGTCAGACTTGATATGCCATGGAGAGATGAGAAGAATAAAGTAGACTGTGGAGTGTTCGTCATGCGCCATATGGAAACATATTTTGGAGGTGGCGTTAAAAATTGAAACTCTGGTCTTCTAAAGGATAATCCTGAGCAGTTGAAACAAATGCGCATTAATACTGCTCGGAAATTGTCCTAAATGAATTCAATGAGCTGAAATCAGAAAATGATAAGAAGGCAGACGTGTTTGGAGGAAAGAAGAAACCTGCCAAATGGGTGAAGACTGTCCATTTTAAAGACAATTGACTTGTAGTTTGATTTCAGTGACAATGTTTTCTGTTTTTTGGATTTGAATACTTTTTTGATGTAAATATTATTTTTTGATGCAAGATTAGTTTTATTTTCATGCAAGATTAGTTGTCTGAATTGCAAGGTTAATATTCTGTAGTTGCTAGTTTAGTTGCTTAAAGTTGCAAAGTTAGTTCAGTAGTTTCAATGTTGCTATTTTAGCCCTATCTAGTTTGCTAGGTTATTTATCTGTTGTTGCAAGCTTACTTGTCTGTAGTTGCTAGGCTAGATATATTTAGTTGCAAGGTTTGTTTTAACTAGTTGCTATGTTAGTTGTCCGATGTTGCTAGGTTAGATAAATTTAGTTGCAAGGTTGGATATATTTAGTTGCGGTTAGTTATTTTTACTTGCAATTTTAGTTTTATATTGTTGTAAGGTTATATCTATGCAGTTGCTAGCTTAGTTGTACCCAGTTGCTAGGTTAGTTCTCTCAAGCTGCTGGAAAAAAACAAACAACGCCCCGGAAGGGCGGAGGATTGGGCTGGATCCGCAACCTGTGCATAGATCAGGGCCCCAAAATTGGGAGCCCAAAATATCAAAGAGCAAGATACAAAAGTCTACAGAGTCTCACTAATCAAGATAAAAAACAAAAGAGAAAACAAAAAAGAAAAGCCCAAAAACGAAAAAGAAGCAAAAACTACAAAACAAAACAAAGTCGATCTTCGGGTTAACAGATGCCCGAAATAAATGACTATACTAATGAAACCAAAAAATCTAAACTAAAGAAAGCGGAACACTGGGTATCCAAGCTGGTCCATCCGTACAAGAGTGCAAAGGCGGAGTGGAGCAGTGTCGGTCTGAAATGTATGTGTGTCTGGTATGGTGGCGCCAAGGCTGGCCAGGTAGTCAGCAGGTCTGTTCCCCTCACGGAAAATGTGCGTAATCCTGTGATGGACTGACCGAAGTAGATCTTTGATGTGCATAAGCGGGTGCTGAATCTGCCACGAGCCCTGATGGCCCGAAGTCAGGAGGGTGGCGACAGCCGCAGCATCCAGCTCGATCTATATATGACTAGAGAGGTGGACAACAATCAGAAGGCCAATCTGTAGTGCCTGAATCTCTGCGTCGTAGCTCGAGGAGGCCTGAATGGACGCGTGGAAGGCGGTGATGAGGGCGCCGTTGTGGTCCTGAATCAAGCCTCCTCCTCCGGCAACTCCAGTGTGGCGATCAAAGGAGCCATCAGTGTTCAGCTTGACCCACGGAGAGTCAGGTCGAAGCCAAACAACAGCTCTAGCCCGAGGAGGCCGAACAGGCGGTGGTGGGACCACCATGTAGCGATGCGGTGGCGTGCAGCCTGTCCAGTCTCGGGCCGTGAGCCTGCCCAATGCAATGAGGAGTGAAATGTGTCTCTCTACCTGCAAAACAATGTGAGAAAACATATATGTAATATCCCTATGCTTCGCACTATTCCTTTCTGTCCAGGTGAACCAAAGGATCAGACAAGGAATGAGGAAGCCCACGTGTCTAAGGTGTGTGCTCTGTGAGAAAAAACTCAGGAGCTCAAAAAAACTGTATGTGGTGGGTAGGGATATATGAGTCCAAGTGGCAAAATGCTCCCACACTCTCCTCACAATCTCACTCTCTAGAAAAGGGTGGGTAAAGGTCTCGGTCTCATGGCGTCCAGTCTCAGAACAACACACACACCGAGAGGTGAAGGAGATCCCTCTCGCGTGTAGCACAGTATCGACGGGTATCCGGCGCAAAAGGAGGCGCCAAAGGAACACTGAAATAGTAGGCGTGAAAAGGTCTCTCCAGATAGCCCCGAAGAAGAGATTAGGCCGATCCCTCAGCCTGATCTGCTCCCAAGCCGAGGTAGTAGAAAACACACCTGATGATGTAAGTCTCCACCTCATGCTATCCGAACCGTCCCCCGAGATGGGTATCTGCTGGATCCTATCTAATAACTGCTCGCTAAAACCCGCCGCGGAGCCCAACTCTTTATCAAGCTTCCCCCTATCCCACGACCCGTCCGTCCAAAGGCTCTCAAGCTACTGGGTTAGTTGTCTTATGTTGCTAGGTTAGTTGTCTGAAGCTGCAAGGTTAGTTCTAGCAAGGTTAGTTGCTTTTTGTGGCTAGGTTATTTCTTCATTCCGCTAGGTTAGTTGTCTATTGTTGCTAGGTTAGTTGTCTTTAGTTGCCAGGTTTGTTGTCTGAAGCTGCAAGGTTAGTTCTAGCATGTTGCAATGATAGTTTTTGTTATTGCTAGGTTAGTTCTATCTTATTGCTAGGTTAGTTATATGGTACTGTTATGTTAGATATATCTAGTTGCTAGGTTAGAATAAATAACAAACACTTCTAACAAAAAGATCAAAAGATATCAAAAGATATAAAATAATAACTAAAAATGCATCAAATAAGATTTATAACAAAACAGTTCCACAAGACCGTCGTTCAAAAGACAGCAAACAAGTTTTCTTCCATCAGATCACAACAAAAGACACTTCCATCAGACACAACGATCACACTCACTACATCTTAATTCTAAATTTGATCATGTCTATATCATCTTGCACAAGGAAGAAAGTGCAGGTTGTCCCTTCTAAGATTGCATTTTCTTCAAACAATTGTCGAGCGTTGGCATTCTGCATAGTTTTCCTTCCATCATCTCCCTGAGCGATGTTTACCCTGT